GTGGCAATGCTCCAGCTGGAAAAACGGAATTGTATTTATTGGGTGCGAGCCCTAAGGGAAGCACCTTCGCCTAGGGGTAGAAGTTATGGAGAAGCAGGTTCTGACTCAACATAAGCAGACAAGTAAAGGTGTGTCATACAAATATGAGGTTTGACTCATATGATGTTGCTGGCTTTTTTCGGTTAAAAAAAAAAAAAGACCCCAAATAGTAGTACCTTCCTATGACACACAAGCATAAATATCAACTATAATAGGTCGAGGAGCTCCAAGTGTTAGGCACCAAATTCGTTCCTCTGTAGCTGTGAGCTCATTTTATTCTAATGCAACCTTGTGATCTACGATCTATTCTTCCCATTTCGTGGAGACTCAGAAGGTTTCAATAGCTTCCCCAGGTAACAGACAGAAGCAATGTCTACATTGTAAAACAGTCCTGTCTGACTTCAAAAGCTTCACTCTGATTCACTAGGCCTTACACTTATATATTCTACATTCTGTGTAAAGAGCCAAGGGTTTGGGTCACTCGGGGTCACTGAGGATGTTCAGGAAGAGGGAGCTATTTAAATAATTCCATTTCCTACATAAAACAAACTGAGGGCAATAATCTTCAGGGCCTCGTTCATCCACATTTGTTACCTGACCCAAGGGGAAATGTTAGAATAGCTTTATTACCTCCAGCTGGGGACACGCAGGTGGGGACAGGGGTGTCCTGCTGTGTCTCAACGAGGACTTCTAGACAGGTGGATGGGAGCATGGAGCCATAGGAACGCATTTCATAGGAATGTCAGCTTCTTACGGGTGATAATAACATGGTATCTCTATCATCCTTCCCTCCTTCCGAATAAGGGTGGGGAGTTGTTTGACTCTCAGCAATAGACAGAGGCCAGGCCTCACTTGGGAATGTAAACCCCATTCTGTAATCTGAGTATTGTCCTCTCCCATCACACCCTGCATGAATCTTGGTGACACCTGACGAGTCGCGATTTCTCCTTTCAGCCTGCCTGATTAAAGCCAGTTATCTGTAACATGGGAGCCTTCAAGCTCACTCCACAGCCCCAGTACAACATTCACCTGAGCCCGGAGGAGACACCCAGGGCTGCCAATGATCCACGGCACCTGTGTGCAAAGTCCCGTAAGCAGACTCGAGGTGACTAACATACAACATCAGTGCAGGTTGGGCCAGAGGATGGGGCGGGAGTGGGGGGGTGAGGGAGGGGCTATGCCGTTTCACTGGATTTTTCTTTACTAATTTAACATAAAAGCAAGGCCAGTTTATTGGGGGTTGGGGGGGGTGGGGCGCAGAACAAAAAAATACATAAAATAAAATATATAAAAAATATATATAAAATAAAAATGTTAAGCTCTCCATTCCCACATCATATATCCATGGGGTAGGGACTAGTAAGACTAGATGTTGTGTACTCTATACACCGTGAGCTGCTCTTAGCATCTAACACTCTATCTTGGGATCTGTCCAGCTTCAGCACGCACGCTGCCCCATTGCTGAAATGGCTGCATGGTATTCCACTGGCCAGATGCTCTTGGCTTCACTCCACCAGTTCCCTATTGCTGAGAATTTGGCTGCAGAGAACTTTCATTAGTGTGAGTAGTTCTGTTAAAGCAATAGATCCACGGGACGATAAAACCCTTGACAACTCCCATCCAACTGAACTGAAATTCAAATTTCAAAAATAACAATTTAAACAGCTTAGGAATTTTGAATGGCTTTCTTAATTTTAAATCTTTGAATGCTTGTTATTAAATAAGAAAGCTCTCATTATTGCCCCACACACTTATCAGGGAAATGAAACCTTTCCTTTTGCTTGAAGTGTTTTGACAGAATTTCTGAAAACAAGAAAGGAAGGGCCTCTAGGGGAAAGTGAACACACCAGGCATATGAGATTCTGGTGTTCCTCCTTAGGGGTTATTTTCAATCAGTTACTTACCATGCCTGGTAGGTATCAGACAAAACCAGATTGCACCGAAAAGCATGGGCTCTTTGGACTACCTTCCTACAGAGGCCTTTCTTTTATTGAATTATGGTAGTTTCTAGAAAAATCTATAGCAGTCTTTGAAGATATCTTAAATAGTAGATATCTCAAGATATCTCATATAGTAGCTGATAATCAATGAATAATAAATCAAATAATAAAATTATATTCTTCTCTTACATTGGTCTGTATTTTCAAGGAAGGGCTTTTGTGAAATCTAACAAAACCTGGTGGCTTTCAAGTCATCTTTCATTGCAAACATACCCTTTAGGTGGAAAGATCTACAGCACATGAGAGCCCAAAGTGTTGACACACGTTTCTGAGGCTGGGAGATAACGCTGGGTCAAACGGACCAGGGAGGCATGGTACCAAACACCTGAACTTGGACGGGGCTGCAAATGAACTTTGTGTGTCAGAAACTGCATGGACAGATGCAGCTTGGCTCATTCTTTACATGTGGTGGGTGTTTAATAAATAGGTGCTGAGTAAATGAAGAAACGGTTTTGAAAGGCAACATATTGTCAAGTTTTCTCCTGGTGACAGACCACATTCCTAAGAATGGTGAACAGAAAAAAGGATAAAATCTGGTGCCAAGAAAGAAGTAGAAAGATTATATTTCCAGAATCACTGCCTCTCTGATTCACTGTAAAGGTGTGAGGTGGTTGAAATAAATCTTCCTATCTGCCCAATTTTCCTAATTCACCCTTTGTTCTGCCTGTTCTTGTACCCATGACAATGACTGGTGAGTCTCATATTCTTGCCATGGCTTCTTCCGCCTCTCATACCACCTGCACTCATAACAATCCTAATAAAGTAATTCTCACTAAGGTGTAAATGACTACTATAGTGAACAGGTTCTTTCATCAGGATTCCTTATTTTTTTAATAAAGGACACTGAAATTAATCATCAGTTTATTAATGTCCAGGATACTTCTATAGTCACATGGACCTTCCAATACCTCTGAACTTACCCTGTGCTTCATAATCCCCCCGTGTTTACTCAGACACCAGACTTTGTCCACACCTAGAATTATGCATTGGGCTCCAAATTCTTTCACTGATCCCAAACTATATTCCTTAGCCTTAATCCGAGGAAAGAGGATCATATTAGTATAATTCTAAGCTTTGGCTTAGCCAAAATGAAGTTGTCGTCTACTTTATTGAAAACGGCAAAGTCACAGTGACTGAAAAGAAGTCCCACATAAAGTACAGCCACTAAGAATAGTTAGAAGGCTAAACCAAGGGTAAAAGTTTGAAACACCCTGATTCTCCATGGTATGTTATAAAGCAGTGAAAAATATCTGTGTCCCAGAAGCAAACTAGTTAGTGCTTGTTAAGTATAACTATTGTTTGGAGAATTACTTATAGTCAATTATGATACACATATCTGGTCTGGGACATATATTTTCTAGTGGTTCCTCTGAAGGGATCTCCAAATTAAATTATTTAAATGTGCTTATCATTAGCAGTTGAAATAAATGACATTTATTTTGGCGACATTAATTTTTAACTTGGCAGCTGTTTTCAGACAGATTGTTGTCAGGTTATTACAGTGACTAACTTTGAGAGGAGGAAGACATTTACAGGAGATTATTTTGGTTTTAGACTTTCAGCTCGTATTTCTCCAAAGAGGCAAATAATTTTGTCAATGCCCTGAGATACTGGGTCCTGAAGACATTGCAATGTTTGCATCTTTGTGACCTGATTTCAATAATAACTCCACATGTGGAGAACTAAAAATGTTCTTTAAAAGAGAAATTCTTCAAATATACTGTTCGGAAGCTGTTTTGTGGGTAAGTTGATTTATATAGGAGTACATCATAGAGGAGCGGGGTAATATATTGTTAATCTTCTGAAAAGAGAGTTGGAAGATGAGGGTTCAAGTTTCAACTCTGAGAAGCCCAGTAACTTGGTGTGCACTTGCAAGGGCCTCTGGCCTCAGTTTCCCATCTGCAAGAAGAAAGCATGTGGAGGTGACCACTAAAATACTTTGGTGAAAAGTCCATGCATCTGTGAAGCCAGTGTGGGTAGTGTTAGATCTGGCCCAAGGTTGTGCCGTGGTCTATACAAAGACCACAGCGTATCTCTTCATCTACTGTACTGAAAACCCACAGTTCCTACATCCCATTTGCCTCCAATTTTAACGCCTCAACTTTCAGCCACGATTCATGACGATAATGTCACCTGACATTGCAGCCATGAGTGGGATAGTAACCCCAAACTATGTTTGATTACCAGCTAGTAAAATGGAAAAGAGGGGGGCTTCCTGGAGAAGGGGACAACTGTCACCATCTACTTAAACACTGCCTGGAATTTATAGGCAAATTGCCACTTTATGATACAAAAAACAAGCCACAAATCAAATTTCAATGAAACAGCATGATAGGCTACAAAAATAACATGAGGTAGCTACCAACATCCCGTTTTGTTTGCTCTCATTAAAAAGAAACTTCAATAATTAAACTTTGAGCAATGGAGAAATGAGGAAGTCTATTTTTAATCAGAAAAAGATGACCCAAGACAACAAATTGGCTTTCTTTATAAATAAAAATCTCTCCGAATATATATATATAAAATATATATGTATATACATATAATTTTTTTTGCTAAAAATGTGAACTATAATCAAAATAAAAATTTGTTACCTATTTTTAAGTTTTTATTAAAACGTCAGTAAGTTAACATACAGTGTAATATTAGTCTCAGGTGTACAATACAGTGATTCAACACTTTCATAAGAAATCTATTTTCTAATAAGAAACAAGAGTAAGTTCAAGAGAATCTAGAAAATGGTCTCAACATTTTTTACAAAGAGGCAATCAGATAAAACAGGTGAATTCATGGAAAAGATTCTCACTTGAGCATCTTATCATTTTAAATTCGAATAATGTTGTTCAGTTCTCCCTTTGGATTACTTAATTATAGGCCCAAAGGCATGTGAGAATTCTCCCACCGCGAGACTCAGGACGAGACGTGAGGCACAGTTTTGAAACAATGAAGAGGAAGTCATACCTTGAAATCATATGTGGCATCTGGGTTTTCGTCGCAAGCAATGACTTCTGGTGCCATCCAGTAAGGGGTCCCGATGAAGGTATTTCTCCTGCCCACTGTTCGATCAAGCTGGGCACTGACACCAAAGTCCACTATTTAAGAGAAGATAAATGAATAAAGTCTTGGATGCTTATATGGTGAATAAAATGAATGTGACTTTTTTTTTAACTGCAGCAAAATAAGCATACCACAAAATTAACAATTTAATCATTTTTACGGTAATAGTTCTGTCATTAAATATGTTCGCATTGTTGTGCAACCACCACCACAATGCAATTCCAGAACATTCTCATCTTCCCAAACTGAAACTCTGTATCATTTCAACAATAACCCCCCATCTTCCCCCTCCTGATTCTTCTTTCTGTCTCTATAAATCTGGAATATTACAGGTACCTCATAGAAGTGGAGTCATACAGTATTTGCCTTTGTGTGACTAGCTTATTTCAATTAGCGTAATATCCTCAAGGGTTGTCCATGTTGGAACACGGGCCAGCATTTCCTAACTTTTTAAGGTTCAGGAATATTCCATCATATGTACATGCCATGTTGCGTTTATCCACTCATCTGTTGATGGCCGACTTGGGTTGCTTCTTCCCTTTAAATATTGTGAATGTCTATTTTTAAAGTGCATGTATAAATGACTAAAGTATACCAATAAGGAAAGCCCACAATGTTGTATTTGGTTAAACCAAGGGCCCGTAGGGGCCAAATACAGGTGTTAAATCAAAGGCCAGCTTGTTTGCCATCGAAGAGAATACTTGGGGGATACAAAGAAAGTGGTTAAGAGCCAAGCTTCTGGAGTCAGACTGCTTAAGTTTGCATGCCATTTCTGCCATATACTAGTGATCTGAGCTGAGGCTAGCAGATCAAGATTTAAGCTTCAGTTTCCAAATTTATAAAACAAGGGTGATGATATTGACACACAGTTGCTGTGATATAAAGGGGTATGTACAGGGCCCGACAAGAGTATTCTCTCAAAAAGTGATGGCTAATCAGTGATGAGTGAAGCTTCTGAGGATAGATTATTTAGGCAGTCCATACGAACATATGTACATGCACACGCAGACACGCGCACACACGCCTTCCCTAAGGAATGTGTGTTTTTGTTTTAAGAGGGAATATTCATGAGATGAAAGTTTGGCCCCAAATGCTGAGAAAAAAATGGAAATTATATATTTTAACAAAAAGACAAGAACAAATGTTTGGGATATAAACATGGGAAGTATTTCAATCTCTTTGAAAATAAACAATCATATGGCCAATAACTCCTTTCTAGATGACAAACTGAGTATCTTAGGGATAGCTGTCACTTCGTGCTCTTACTCAGAGATACCAAGCAGGTGGAGGGGCTTGTGGAGCACAGGGAGATTCTTGACCTTATCTGGACAATCCCAGCACCAAGGGAAAGGGTTTCCTCTCTGGTCACTCCAGCAAATGCAAGTAGGATAACCAGCATGCATTCAAAGTAGAATACTGAACACCCCTTTTGTACAGGTGCCCTAGGTAATAATGAAGTCGATGTAAATATAACTTAAAACATATGGGAACATAGTAGGAATTCATTATTCTAAATATGTCTAAATGTGGATATTTTTCAGTAAAAAAAAAAAGTGGATCATCGCTGTTCTCTTATAGCAGCAACAAAGTAAACAAATGGTGAGATATAGGAACCATTTCAAGGTCAGTCACTTTTTTTTTTTTTTAAGATTATTTATTTACTTATTTGACAGAGAGAGACAGCGAGAAAGGGAACATAAGCAGGGAAAGTGGGAAGGGGAGAGGTGGGCTCACCACTGAGCAGGCAGCCTGATGCGGGCCTCAATCCCAGGACCCTGGGATGATGACCTGAGCCGAAGGCAGAAGCTTAATGACTGAGCCACCCAGGCGCCCCAGGTCAGCCACTTCTAATCTAAAGGGTTTTGCTTGAGAAAACCTGAATTATTTCTACATATTAAGCAAATGGTTCTGTCTGCCATATTGTATACCAGTTCACTTGTCAAATGCTTTTAGAAATGTTTTGAAATGGACAAAGAAACATTTTCCTATCATTCCTTAGTACAATGACCTTCAAATTCATGGTGACAAATTTACATTCATTAAAAGAAGTACAACAACAAAACCAACCAGTTGTTGAAATAATCCTATCAATTCCTTTGATTCCTCTGCTCCCTGGATTCTGTTCTTACCTAGTTTAACTTCTGCATTCTCAGTCAGCAAGACATTCTGCCCTTTAATATCTCGATGAATCACTTTATGCTGGTGCAGATGACTCAGCCCCTGGAGTAACAGAGAGTTAAGAAGGGTTAAGGAGAATGTAAGCCAAGATGCAAATAAATTATTTGGGTTGTCAATGATCCCAAAATTATGTAAACTCACCCAGAGCTACTTTCTTTTCTTTCTTTCTTTTTGATACCTTCATTATCATACTCAGGTCTTCCACATGTGTATAGTGCTGTTCTAAACTAGGTAATTGATCAACATAAACTGAAATACAGAAGCAGTCTTTGCAATGTGCGCTGCTGTGTTAAATGAACTGCTTGCACATCAGCTGTGATCTAAGGTAGCAACGAACCCACGAGGACAATGATGTGGTTCTGGCATGCACGAGTTTTAACTAACAGTACTATGAAAAGTGAGGACTGCCTGCATTTGCTAGTTTATAACAGGAACATCTATATAGTTTCCGTACGGAAAACTAACCTGATTTAACTAAGTCCTCCACTCTTTTTTTTTTTTTTTAAGCAATATTTGAATTCAAGAGTTAAAAGTTGCTCACTAAATTCTACTCCTGAAACTAATATTGCACTATATGCTAACGCACTTGAATTTAGATTAAAAACTTAGTAGAAAAAAAAAGTTAAAGACTACATTGTATCATATAATTTTAATTAATCACAATCAAGTATTTCTCAGACCAGTCAAGAAATCTCCCATTGCCTTTAGCCAATGTGGCTCACATTTTTAAAAAGAAAATAGCAGTTTCTATTTCCTTTGTTGACATCTGTAACTGTCATCTTTAGTGCTTTATGAGATTTGTGACTTTGTGTTCATTGTATGAAATAATTATTTGGTGACATCCAAACCTGTGTCCTGTTTCTCCACGAGTTACTCTCTGTCTTATTTGTGGTGTGAGCTCTGAAATCTATGAACTTGCTCTAAGGTAGTGATACGTTTCTCAAAGTATAACCCAAAAAAACCTCAAATTGGAGTCTTGAAGCAAATTATGTTATGCTAACACTTGCTAATTCAACATACTATATACTCAATTAATGTCATTTCATTATTTATAATTTTCTGTACTTTTAATTTTCCTCCATAATGATGAAACTCTGGCATGGAAAGATGAGGTTGACACAAAAAGAAACAAAACTAAATATCTGAATTCCTGTGTTGAAAAAACTCAGCATGAAAATTTGGATGGCCCCAAAATTTGATCCATGTATACATTCAGGAAGATCAGTAAACATAAACCGTGTGAGAAGCTGAACCACTTGTTTGGGTTTTAAAAAATTACCTTTCCTCTCTAGTCAGTTCAGCTCAAAGTAGGCATCAAGCAGAGTAAAATGTCTGGTTTTACAATATACTAATATCCCGTGAGTACTTAGAGGGACTGAAGATCTCCACATTCCTTCACCAGCACAGTGGTTGGAAGCAGGTACCAGAGCACATAAGTGAGCCAAACATTGTAGTTAATGAGATCATATGATGCAAGGAGAGTTATGTCTAAAATATCTTGTGATTGAATGTTTCTTCCAATGAGTCACCTTATCTCAAAGGCCAGTATCTTCTGGGAAAATGTATTGGAAGAAAATAATCAGGTACTAAGAGGTACTCATAGGTTGAGACATCCTGCTGCTTTCAGAACCCTGGAGAGCTCATGGCTGATCCCCAGAGTTCCCCATTCCTCACCAGAGCAGAAAGGTGTACTGCAGAAACAGCCATGGAGATCCAGCGTATTCTTGGACTCACGGGGGCCTAAATAATGGCCTAAATAACCCCTTGTGCGTTCTCTAAATGAGTGAAATCCTAAGTCAGAAATTCAACTGAAGTTTACACAAAAGCCCCTCAACACTCAAAAATAAATGTCAGATTTGAAGGAGAGCAGCAACCATACCTCCTTGTTTCCCACTCAAATTCTGTCTTGGGCTCAGAAATCGTTTTGCCCACCCCATGCCATGGAGGTTTTATCCTGTTTGCTCTTAAGAGCTTTATTTTTTGTATCTTTTATATTTATATCTCTAATCAAGCTAGAATTAATTTTTGAATATGGTATAAATCAGGTATCAAGTTTCATGTTTTCCCATGACTCTTCAGTTGACCAAGCACTATTTACTGAGGAGAGCACCCTTGCACCCATGCTTTGCAGTACTTCTTCTGCCATAAATCAGGTGTCCTGATAAAGTGAGTCTGTTCCTGGACTCTTGATTCTGTTCCCCTGGCCATTTGTCTATTCTTGTGACAATACCACTCTGTTTTATTTACTTAGTAGCTTTATAATAAGTCTTGCTAACTGGCAGCATAAATCCTCCAGCTGTCTTCTTCCTCTTCAAGATTGTCTTGCTATTCTTGGCAAGGCAATCTTTAAAACTCACCTGTCAATATCCACAGCTATACCTAGAGGGATTTTGATGGAGAGTTCATTGAAACCATGGATTAAACCAGGGAGAAATCATTTCTTCACAATATTAAGTATTCTTATCTGTGAAATGGTATATACCTCCATTTTATTAAGGTCCTCTTTAATTTCTCTCAGTAATATTTTGTGGCTTTCAGTGTAGAAGACATTCACACCTTTCTGTAAATTTATTTCTAAGTATTTGACTTTTATGCTATTATAAATGTTATTTTTAAAGTTCACTTTCTGTTTTATTTTGCCAAATGTGCTTTGAATATTTTTAATGTTTTCCATCCACCCGTCCATCCACCCATCCATCCATCCATCCATCCATTTGCAGCACATAATCTTTCTCTCAAAAGTGCATCTTGGACACATCATGAAAATAGTTTTAACTTTTATTCCCTTAGATTAAGAAGGAAGAGCTTATATATTAGATTGCCAAGTACATCTAGTAAGAATGCTCAGTGAACATACATTAGCCTCCAAATCAGTAGCAAGAGATAATCCAACTAGTCTGACTGAACTAAAATATGACCAATTATTTTCTTCTCCTTGAATTGATCTCAGTAAATATGACACTATTGTCCAGATTGCCTGATTGAGATCAGTGGGCAAAACTGGACAGACATAGTCTTGTCCAGCTATTTTGATTAGCTTAACTGACAAACTCAAATAATTTTTTTTTATTTAAAATCAGTTAAACTAGATTCTATATGCTAAAATGGTAAATGTCATGTAATCCTTAATCTCGTTATAAACTTTCACAAATGGAAAATTCAAATGGAGTGATCAAAATACCTCTAAAAAAGTCATTTCCTAAGTGAGACCTTATCTCTTTGATCTAAAATCAGATTTCTAATTGGAAATATCATGGGAAATGAACCCCTTGGTAAGGGAAGTCACCCAATGTTAACCCTCTAAATGAGAGTGCACATAGCCTGTTCAGAATGGCTCTCGCCTTCATGGGAGCAGACCCTAAAACTACCACTACCATCATCACTGTTAGAGTAAAGCTTTAAACATGTCTGTAATACTTTTGTGAATGTCAGCAGAAGGTTGGTACAAAGTTCAATGCCTCCCAAGAGACTCTGTGTTGTCACTTACTCGTAAGATCTCCCTGCAGATGTATGCAATCCACTCCTCCTTCAAGGTGTTACCTTTCGTGTTCTTGATCAGGTCAGTGACAGAGCCAGCACCACAAAACTCCATCACCAACTGGCAAAGGAAGCAAACATGCCATGATTATAATCACACTTCATAGCTTTCACTGGGTTAAGAAAGCCTAAGTTATTCTTTAGAATGCTGTTTTAGAATGCTGTTTCTTTAAAAAAGAAGTGATCAAACAACAGTATAGAAAACATAAACTTGTATCTTAATTTTTTTCCAAATGATAGAAAAGAAAGATTATTCTTTAATTTTCCAACCTAAAAATTATAATTGGAAATTGAGGAAAATCCCCATATTCTAAGTATTTTTTTTAAATGAGGGAAGCTAGGTGGTTCAGATGTAGTTGAGAATATCTCTGTGTTTTTATCCAGCAATTGATCTCATCTTTTCTACAAAAGTGGATCATTCCCCTGTCTAAAAGAACTATGGTTTTCTAGGCAATCTGACATTAGGACAATAAAGTATACACTGTTTATGCTATTGGTTTGTAAGTGGCACTGTAAACTGTCAGAATGGGGACTGTTTTTAATTAACTTCAGCAAATGTTCACAGGAGGTTAGACACATCAAATAAATTCAATAAACAATAAGCCTTAATTTAGCACCTTTCATCCAAAAAGCTTCAAGCTCTCTATAAATATAAACTCATTACAGCACTCAAGCAACTTTATCAAACAGGCAGAAAATAATCACCTCTCTTATTTAATGGAGAAATAGAGACAAGAAAAGGAAAAGCAATTCATTCGATTTTACATTCATTTTCTAGCATTAAGAAACATTCATTTTCTTACTTTCTCCCTTTTCTTCAAAAAAAAAAATAGAAAAAAGAAAGGTCTTCAACAAATGGCATCTTATTATTAAGTACTTATTTTTTTTGTAATTATATGATAAGAATTCAGAATAACTAGCAATCGATCTCTGACCAGACACTAGAAACAACTAAAGTGGACCCACAATGAAATCACATTGATGGTTTGGGCTTTGTCCAAATGTACATTCTTAACATCAACACCATGTATGCCTAGTAGAAACTCAGTGAAACTCATGAAGTGAGTTTCATGAATGAGTTTCCAGTGACTTTTCTGACTGGTCTAACGATTCCACAAAAGGTAGGGAAACCCTACCATCTTCTCGAGACTACCAGCGGGAGTAAAGAGACTTCTCAGGACTTTTTGTAAGGAAATTTAAGAAGTACCACAACAGACCATACTGCAACCCAGTAAGAGTTGTAAAATGATCACATGTGATAGTCAGGAAGCTATCAAAGACCTTAAGTCATGTTAGAAAGAACTCAAGAATCAACCTGAAGAAGTTCTCACTGGCCAAAGATGGGAAGATTTGAGCATCGATAAGAATAACGACTGCAATGGCTTGAAACGCATTAAACTTACCCAAATGCATTAACAAACTGATAAACAGAGGGAAAGAATCAAGAATTTGTATTGCGATTCTTAGACAAATTTTAGCACTGGATAATTTGGTAATTAAAAGGGGCAAATCTTCTCTTTATAAAATGCAGGCATTCCATGTAATAAATGAAGAGGACATAATAGAATCAAAATATCACTATTTTATAGTCCCTGACAAACTAATGAATTTAAGCACTGATTCTCAATGGCTGTTAACATAATAAACATAAGAAGTAACCAGACATTATTTGCTTCTTGATTAGCATAATAACATCACCTAAGAAGTAGCCTTGCCAGAAACAAACAAATAACAACAACAACAACAAAAAAACCAAAAAACCCCAGAATCTGATCAAGCGTCTGGTTCCAACTACCAAATTACAGAAAATTCAGAGGACTGAGGAACATGTTACCTCATGGGGATACAATTTAGAAAACCTAGAACAGGAGACTCCACAGGGCAAATGACCCATTTACTTCAACAAATAAACTGCAAGAAGGAAAAAAGAAGATGGAGGGGATATTTATAGACTTAAAAACATTAAAAAGATATACCAACAATTTGCAAGGGATATGACTTATCTGGATATGAGTTTTTTCCCTCAAAGCTCTTAAAATTTTTGAGGCAATTAAAGCTTTGAATACAGACTATATATTTGATTATACCAAAGAAACATGAGGGTTTTTGAAAGTGTGATTTTTAATGGTACTGTGGTTATGTAAAAAAAGAGTTCTTTTTATGTTTTTTAAAGATTTTATTTATTTACTTGACACACAGAGAGACATCACAAGTAGGCAGACAGACAGAGAGAGGGGGAAGCAGGCTCCCTCCTGAGCAGAGAGCCTAATGTGGGGTTTGATCCCAGGACCGTGAGATCATGACCTGAGCCGAAGGCAGAGGCTTAACCAACTGAGCCACCCAGGCATCCCGATACCCAACTTTTCTATCAACATGGATGGGACTGGAAGAGATTATGCTGAGTGAAATAAGTCAAGCAGAGAAACTCAATTATCATATGGTTTCACTTACTTGTGGAGCATAAGGAATAACAGAGGACATGGGGAGATGGAGAGGAGAAGTGAGTTGGGGGAAATCAGAGGGGGAGATGAACCATGAAAGACTTGGACTCTGAGACTCTGAGAAGCAAACTGAGGGTTTTGGAGGGGAAGAGGGCGAGGGGTTGGGTGAGCCTGGTGGTGGGTATTAAGGAGGGTACATATTGCATGGAGCACTGGGTGTGGTACATGAACAATGAATTTTGGAACACTGAAAAAATAAAATAAAATTACAAAAAAAGAATATATAAAGGATACTTACAGATCAACAATAAATATAAAAATAACATAATTTAAAAATGAGCAAAGGCTTGAATAGACATTTTTCCAAAGAAGATATACAAATAACCAACAATCACATAAACTGATGTCTAACATCAATAGTTCTTAGGAAAGTGCAAATCAATGGGATAATCAGGTGATGCGCATTAAGGAGGGCATGTGATGTGATGAGCACTGGGTGTTATGGGCAGCTGATAAATTGCTGAACACTATATCTGAAACTAATGATGTACTATATGTTAGCTAATTGAATTTAAATTAAAAAAGGGAAAGTGTAAACCAAAAATCACAATAAGATACCACTTTACACCTACTAGGATAGTTACAATTTAAAAAAAGGCAGAAAATAACAAACGTTGCCAAAGATGTGGAGAAACTGCAACCCTTGTATACTGCTGGGGGGAATGTGAAATGTTGCAGTCACAGACAGTTCGATGGTTCCACAACAGGTTAACACAGAACTGCATTATGACCCAGCCAGTCCACTTCTGGGCATATGCTCAAAAGGACTGAAAACAAGTATTCAAACAAAAACTTGCAACCGAATGTTCAAAGCACCAGTATTCACAATAGACAAAAGGTGAAACTAACCAAAATGTCCACTATCAGATGAATAAACAGAATGTGGTATATCCATATAATAGAGTATTATTCTGCTACGGAAAGGGAGGCCATAGCGATGCCTGAAACAACATGGATGACTCTTGAAAACATTACACTCATTGAAAGAAGGACCAAAAGGCTACGTACTGCATAAATGCATTTATATGAAATACCCAGAAAGCAGAGGAGTGACTGCCAGGCATGAGGGGGAAGGAAGAAGGGTGCTAAAGGGGTACAGAGTTTTCTTTTGGGGTGATGGAAAAGTTCTGGAACTAGATAGTGGTAATGGTTGCACAATACTATGTACTTAAGGCCACCGAATTATATATTTTTAAATGGTTAGGATGCTAAATTTTATGTTATACATACTTAATCAGAATTTAGAAAAAGTGAGATGAGAAGATTGGTTTCAAAATAATAGTAGAAGGGAAGAAGGGGGGAGCATGTGTTTGGGGCAGGATGGGTGGTAGTTGGGCTAGTTTGGGGCACATCGGTGTCCATTATATTGTTCTCTTTACTGTCGTGTGTTTGGGGGATTCTCTATAACACAGAGTTAAAGAAAATCCTATTATGTGGTGATAGGCAGCAGGCCGACCAAAGGAACATCCTTGCGTAGAAAGAAAATATCTTCTCCAACGAGCAAAATATGTTTGTGTCCCTTCTCAAATCCTGTTTTGAAGGAACACAGTGACCAGACCTCCCACAAATGCCTCTGTTGCTCGTCTATCAGCTGGAGAACACGTCTCACCACTGAGCCCCATTAGGCCACGTAATTATAGTTCCCAAGGAAAGCAGTGGAAGCCCAGTGGCTCCAGTCTTTTAAAATTAGATTGGACAAAATACTTTCAAATATTCAGTAGGAAACAATCCGGCCCTAACCAGGCACTAATGTCAGTGATTTCTATAATTTGCTTCTCTATTCAGCTCCAGCTGAAGGCTGCTAAAGTCTTTTCATCTCACTACGGAATGAAATGATTGTTAAATTATGTAATGGGATTTAAAAAGAGAGAGAGAGAGAGAGAGAAAGGAAGAAACCAGCATTTGCCAGCAACTGGATTTTGGAGCCGCACAGCAACACAGATAATTACCTCCACCAAGCAGCAGGGACCCTCCCTCGCCACAAGTAACCTCATCACATTAATAAACAGAAACAGGGCTCAACATGCCAAGCCCAGCAGCGGTAAGTCAATAACTTCCCATCCCACAAGCAAGAAATGATGGATCATTAATGTTCTCCCCAAAAGAAAGTTCTCAAAGAGTTGGCACTGGGGCAACACTACTTGCTTACATTTACTGAGAATTTGCCATGTGCCAGGTGCTGGGCTCAGTGATTTGCAGCTACTGTTTCATTAACTCACTTTCCCTTCAATTCCCTTTTCCTTATTTACTTGGAAATGGAGCTTAGTTATGCAGGTCTGCAGCCTTACCTGGAGTCTATATACTCATTAAATATGTAGAGCAGGGGTGAAAGCATGATACTCTCTCAAGTATTAGTTGTGTGACCTTGGGCATGCCTGTTCTCTAACCTCCCTGGACTTCTCACCGCACCCCCACCACTGTAAAATGCAAAATAAAATAAAATAAAACAAAAAACATGTTTGATGTGAACATTGTGTGTCCGTGAGTGTAAAACTCCTAGCAGCCCCAAATCTTAAACTATACTTATTACTTATATCTTAAACTGTATTTATTACTTTTT